GCGTTTAAACATTTGAGAAAACAGATACCATGAATTAAGAACTATAGTGTTCTTACCCAGGCGCGGAACAAATATGCCTCGAGTTCATGGCGGTGAAGTCTTAAATTTCTCCAGAGAGAAAAAGAGGAGCTCCGACTGTGAAAGCCGTTCGAAGGACTGATGGAGCTCTCGAGTTTTACATTTATAATTAAAATAAAAGAATACATATACACTTAGGAAAAAAAAAGAGAAACAATAAAATAAGGAAGAAAAACACGCTTATCGAAGCTAGTTTTCCTCTCTGGCATAGCAGCACAACTATGCTCCACCACCCTTTTCCTTTCTCTAACATCCCACTCTCTCCCACTCCCTTCTCTTATGGCGGCTAGGGTTAAGGGTCACAAGAAGAGGACCCTTAAATACCCACCCCCCAAATAATTTCTAGCCGTAGGATTAGATCAAATCTAGCCACATATGGACCATCTGATTGACTTTCATTAAGGGAAAATAAGTCACTTCCTTTCCTTAAAAGATCTACACCATTGATTCAAATTTTTACTCATTAAAGCAACTCAAAATTATGACCGTCGGACCTCACTCAAGATAAATCATGGTCATTGCTTTATAGATCGTATGCAGACTATGCAATCAATCAACACGCGCCTCAACCATCCGATCAGAATCTTGTTTGTCAGCTGCACGATCATAATCATCATCCTCTGCATGTCTAGGAGCCGTTAGATTGAAGTTAGACTCTGAGATTAAGGTTATTATTTCGTACTTTTATTTTGTACTACAAAAAAGAAGATTTAGAGTCTCGTACATATATTTATGTTTTACATTTAAGGGATCTAACCATTCTACGATTCTGTTATGATTACTAAAGTTAAGTTATTTTACTTAACTTGAGTATATATGATTTAAGTAAATATACTCTAGTCATTATCTTATAAGATGGGAACCTGTGATAAGTAGTATATACATATATAAAATCAAGGGTAGGGGGTTTGAACAAAAATAGATTATATTAAGAACAAGATGCAATGTCATTGAATACAATTACAAAATATTTAAACAAATAACATAAAATAAGATGTCTCTTGTTGTCTAGACCAAACCCTTACTCAAACTAGAAGCTAAAACTCTAAAACCATACATAATTTAAAGACCAATCTTTAGGCATTTACTGTGTAGCAAAAACTAAAAAGTTGCTTTAATTAAATAACAAAAGTTCACTTCGAGGACTTAAAAAGCTACGTGCTAATTAGAAAGATCTACCGCAAGACATGCATATTTCTTTCGCTATAAATTTAGGTACGCTTCTGTTACATATCTAATCTCTTTGATTTGATATAGTTTGATTATTTAGATTTCATATATAGTTTTAAAATTCTTATATTTCGATGAGCCTCAATGAGTTTCATGGATTCGAAAGTAGCTTGTGGTGGATTACCACTAATGAAATGTTCCACCATAGTCTCGATACAAGGATGGCAAAAAGAGAAGAGTTTTCGATCTTGTGAGAAGATGATAATAGCAATATCAACTCCACATAGAGTGCATAATTCACTTGCCTTCTTGAAAAGTTCGGCTTGACACTTGAAGAAAGTGACTTGGAGGTTGCTTTCATTGTTCATCTTCACCATCTCAACTTTTTGTCTTCCCCTACTTTTCCTCGCCATGGTTACAAGTATTAAATATGTGAAGAAAGAAATTAAAAGAGAGATCAAGAAAGAAATAATTATATAGAAAGAGGGTGAAAGGTGATATTTATGGGAGACTCAAATCAAGGTTGCGAATTAATATTTTAGGTTGATATCCTGTGTAAATTTTCTTGTTTTTAATAACTTGTTTTGGGTTGTTTGAGAATCTCCTCCTTATTAAAATATATGGTAGGAAAAATCTAGATAATTAACGTTTAATTTAGCTATATTTTTATACAATTTTCCAAATTATCATTTTCTTAACATATATAGATATATAGGTAGATAGATATACATGAGAATAGAACCTTCTTGAAAATTGAAATTTTTAACATTATATATTCATATATATTCTTGTTGAGGATGTTAATTTGAGATTGAGAAGGCAAGAAAGCTACTTTTACTTTTATTTATTTGCTTCTAATTAGAAGACACGATAATTCAATCACTTTTCTCAATAGTTTACGCAATTGGAAAAAGAAAAGATTGTGGTGGCTTTTACTGAAATAATAAAGATTTTTAGATAATTTATGTTAAAGTAAAAAAAGTAAAAATGTATTATAAGATATATTAAAATTTAAAAAACTATGATGAATTCTTTGTAAAATTAATTGATCATTAGTACAATGGAAAAAATTAATTTTATTTATAAGCATTAAGGAAGGACCTAGGCTATAAATTAAACTTAAATTGATCAATTACACCACAATATGAAAAAATTTGGTTTTATTTATAACTATCAATTTGGTCACATTTAAAATTCAAAATTTTAAATAATTAAATTTAATTATGACAGTCGATTAACCTTCATAAGTATAAAGTTCTAATTTGATTGCATGTGATATTCAATTAAACTTGAAATTCATATAATTCAATCCAACTCTTAAATTGTAATTCTCGTTTCATGATAAATTCTAATCCTGTTAGGATGTTAATCTAAATCAGCAAAACGAAATTCTTCTTTAAATCTTGTTTTCTTTTTGTTTGAATTTTCTTTGAATGTCTATGATCCACTTGATTGAAATTTTCTATTTAATACAGTTTGGTCTTAATATAAAATCTTCCATGTAATTTTTAAGGAATTTTTATTTAAATTATATCTCATATAATTAAATAAAATTTATTAAAATAACGTAAAATGTTTAAATAACTGTATACTGAAGACTTGTTTCATTAATATATTAATAGAATTATAGTAATTAAACTAAACTAATTTTTAGTAAACTTGTTACATTTATGAGAAAAAGATATTTTGTGACAAATTAATTTTCTTTAATTAAAATAACAACAACGATATAGAATTTCAAATTGGTACTTTTAATTTTAAGAATAGATTCAATGAACAATTAAATTCTATAATGTAGGCCCACTCAATTTAAATCCAATTCCTATGGTCTATTTGATTGTAATTATTTATTTAATAAAGTTGGGACCCTAATTTAAACTTTAGGCCTAATTTTATGGAATTTTTATTTAAATTATGTCTCATATAATAAATAAATTATTAACACTTAATTAAGATATTATCTATACTTGAGATATATATTTCCAAATATATAGATATGTTGGCATATTTATTTAAGTACTAACAATAAAATATTTTCCCTGAATATTATTCAATTCCGTTATTGATTTATTTTAGGATTAATTACCCACATCAAACTAATAGAATTTTCTTAGCTAGAGTTTATGTATGGGACTCATATAGGCTTAGTATTAAATTATTTATAAACTTTAATCAATGCAATTGATTTATTATGACTAAACACTTTACATTCATTATTATGATTTGTTTATCACATAAATATATTAGATGAATGTGTAGGTCAATGAGAGCATAGTCTAATAAATATATCATAACTCTTAAAATATACAAAAATTTGATCATGAAATTCAATAATTTGTCCAAGGATGTTGTAACACCCCGAAAACCTTTGTGCTTAATTTGTAACGTGAACTCCAATTTATTCGGGCCCTAAGCCCGTTTAAAACTCCTTAATATTTTGTATTTTTAATTTTTTGAATGAATATCGTATTTCGTATTTTAAATTTTTTATTTTATTTAATTGAATAATTTTTAAAATTAATTATTTTATTTTATCATATAAAAAATTATATTTTACTTATTATTTAAATAAATTTTACGAAAAATGGAAAAAACGCAGAAAATCCCGTGGGACGTCCGTAGACGATCCCGCCTATGCAGTCTGTATGCCACCAGCGT